CCACCTGGCAGCACTACGGATGCCGACTGTACTGCGCGTGCGGGGGATGGTGTGCCAAAGAAGGCACGCACACAGTCCACCTATGCCGGAGATGCATGAATCGAGCCATCGGAAGCTGACGATGATGATAGTGAGATCAGCGGAGTTCTCTGACGTAGGGTGGTATATGCAATTCCTTAAGACGAAGTGTGTCTTGAGATGGCGCTGCCGGACGGAGATTCGGCAAGCGCAACATGTCTGCCGGCATCATAAGCACAAAACCTGCTCCGTGGAGAGGTCTGAAGTGCATGCACCATGTCAATCCGCACACTGAGTTTTTGACTCGATTGAAAGCTGACAGGACCTGTAGGGACAGTAGGTACTAACATGAGTGAGATTGCGTGATACTGCGGAAGCCAAACCATTTTCAGATCAACCACACTCGCACCATCACCCATTCACCTTTCCCCGATCGCCCCACCTCATGAGTTGGTTGACCCAGACGGCGTTCAACAAGGCAGTGCAGGCCGCGTACGATCAGGATTACTTGGAGCTCCCCGACATCCACATCCCCATCCGCTGGTACACCGCCCAACTTCTACTTGAACAACTCACCAAAATCGGCAACTCACCCCATCCCTTCACGCCCATCATGATCCCCACCAGCGAGGCGCTCTCAATCTGGGGACACCTGCAAGATTGGCACAAGAACTTCGGCTACCACCTAGACAAGATCTCCATGCCCACACCACAACCCGCACACCTACCTCATCAAGACGCACCACCACAAGCAACCAAGAAAAGACGACAACAGTACCAACCGGACGACCCGCGCTTGCACCCCGAGTTCGACGGCATCACCTCGGACCTTCTCCAGGACATCTCCCTCGCACACCTCGATCCACACACCTATGTAGCCGCGGACTGGCCCGCGGACCAACCCGTTCTGACGACGTGGGAGGCCATCGAAGACCCGGAAAAGTACACAGAGTGGAAGGCCCACACCCAGTGGAATGACACAACATATCACACTTTCGCCCAAGCCCTTCATTCCCATCCCTTTGCCGTTCGCCTCGCTGCGATACGCAAAAAAGCCAAAGAAGATTCACACCAGCACCAGCTGCTCTGGAAACACCCATGGCACCAAAACGGCTGGCAGTATCACACGCACTACGACAAGGAGACCAAGAGAAGCTTCATGTACAAGGGCGACTACACGATCCACCGACGCGAGGAGGATAGCGCAATGCCGGATCCAACTACACAACCCTCAGAACCCAAGAAGGACACCCCACACAACTCACCAATGCCCTACCATCCACCACCTGAAGAAGAAGATGATCGACGATTTGGGCAGAAGACGAGATGTACCCGGCGGTGAAGTAGAAACATGCCGTGGAAATCGACGATGTGATTGCCGAGAACATTGTGATCTTCCTGATCGCCACTGCACACAGCATCACACACCTGCGCCATACAGGCCCTCTTGCGAATCCAAAAGAGGCCGTTAACTGGCAAGATGCGAGTTGAAGCCATGCCGACCTAAGCGCCTCCCCCGTCCCCTTTTCCCCCCCCCCTCCCCTGCACATGGCAGACCTCATCCCTCCACTATCACACGGGAGAACATGACCACAGTTTTTTGGCACGAACCCGACCCCGTCCCTTTCCCCAGCCCAACATGTGGAGCCACATACTGGACTTCCTGACCGGTCCCCTCCACGTGATCTTCATGGATGAGCACGAACTCGAAATGGAGCATCTGCGCAGAGATCCACACTACAGCATGGAACCCTTTTACCAACGGTACAACTACCTCGACGACACGTACCACACGGCCCCAGCGTACTACACGGAGAAGGCACCCCTACACAAAGTCATCGACCCGTCGTACTTCAAAGCATACGAAGGCTGGCACATCAATATCAAGAATGCCATCACCTACCAGGCGCTCAAGAACATGATGATGATATTCCATGGCTTTCAGGACCTCTACATCTCCTCCAGCACATCTACGACGGCCACGTTCGTGTGCCTACTACCAACTGAAAATCAGATGCTGACCCCGGTTTCAAAATTTCTCGGCCAAGAGGTACGTGACAAAACCAAGCATGAGCTCAACCTTCAGCGCATCATCCGCCGCATCCCGACTCACATCAAAGGTCACTACGTTGAAAAACCTCTTCGAGATGACCACCCACATCCTGGTGCGGCACTGTGCCTACCCCACATCGCCCAGATTGTCTTCTCCAAGTATGAATCGGTTAACACAGCTTTGATTGCCTCGCAGTGGTACGAGACCACGGTCCGCATAGCCACAATGGCCAGAAAAGGTTTCCAGATTGGTGACAAGTTGTTCCTAGAAGACCTGCCAACCCCCACCACGAAACCGCTACATGATGGACGCGTCATCTTCATCCAGAAAGCCAACCCACGCCCCTCGCACCTAGAACGCCAACTTCAAGATGACATGGAGTGGAATGCGATCTTGGCGATCACCCGACAGCACACGGTTGAGGAGTACCAGCAGTACCTCCCTCCTGAAATCCTCGGGGTGCACAAGCTCATCCTCTACGTCAACACCAAATTACAAGAATGGCAAACCAGGAACAACGAGTCCTGTTTGCAGAACGATATCTTCTCACGCGCCGACATCCACATGATGATACACGTCCTCAAGTTTTTCAGCCCCAGACACGCAGAATGGCGCTTCACAAGAGAAATCTTCGGCCCGGACTACACCATCCTCGACTTCAACGGCTCCACCTGCGCTATCCCCATGCAACCTCTACGTGACAATCTGACAGAGTGGCTACGTCAACACAAACGACTAGTCTCATCTCTACTGCACGCAGAGCACGACCACCGGCAGCCCAACCACCCGCTTTCCAGCCACACGTTCTTCGAAGACGTAGGCACCATCTCAGACGAAGAAGAGCTCTGGCAAAGACGCCAAGAATGGAATCCGGTTCAACGGTTCCCGACGACCACCTACAACAGCTACACCGAGCCGGACCTGTCCGTGGACTGATCTCTTCGACGACGCAAGACCCAATTCCACCCACCCCTGGATGGAAGACCCGTAGACCAATGCGGACAAGATTCGTTTGCAGTGCGTTGTGAAGTCTGAAAACTTAGAAGTTCGCAGTTCAGCCTTTCGGAGTGTGCATTCCACTGAGCAGAGACATGATTTGCCCGTGATGCATCCTTCACACGACCAGCACACCGGTACAAGGGCAGGATTAGTGATGCAACAGCATGCCGTTGAACATTTGCAAAGCGCATTCCCATGTTGAGCTGCAAATAGCATGTGACATGCGGTGAGAGACTTTGAAGCAGTTACTGTACATAGTAGAGCAAGATGGATCAAATCATCCCTCTGATACTCCCGGAGCTCGGCAAGAAATACAGAGTCATCTTCATGGACCAGGGCATCTCCAAGGACCTCAGGCACATGACAGACGAGGAAGTGAAGTTTCACCTTCAAGCACTACGAGCAAAACGGAACAGCACGATGTTGCACTTGGACCCTACCCTTTCCCCCCATCCTCATCTACAGCATTCCCTCGCACAACAAGACAGTAAGGCCTCGGTTCGTGTAGGTTCGTTTAGGTTTCCGGGTACATACTCTGGAACGGTTCCGGTTCATGCGGTTCGCTGCGGCTTGCGGTTCGGTTCGGTTTAGCGTCTGGGGGGGCTGGAGGGGCTGGAGGGGCTGGAGGGGCTGGAGGTGCTGGCTGGAGCCTTGGCTTGAGGTTCGGTTTCATGGCGGTTCGTGTTTGTCGCGGTTTCGGCGGTTCACGGTTCACACGGTTCCTTTGCGCGTGCGGTTCCTGGCGGTTCGGTTCCGGTTT